GGGTTCTAAGTCTTGGGCTTCCTTTGTCAAGTTCCTTAAGATAACCATCTAATGAAGGGGGCCTTTGAAGGAAGAGGGGTGCTAAAAATCATAAATCTGCAAGGGAGAAAATCCCACAAACAGAGAATCTGCAAAGGAACCCATAAAGATCAAAATGTTAAGTCTGCACTTTTTGATGAAACTACAAAAAATATGCCCAATCAAAAGGTATATGTAAAGCATACAGGGCTCCTTTTCAGAGGTTTATCACTATATACATGTAGCAATTTATGAACCTACTGCATATGTTTCCAGACACATGCTAACCCAACATTCTACAAGGTAGCAGACAAGGATTCCTTCTCTGCTTTAAAGAAGGATGAGAGCAGAGAGCTTTTGATAGGAGATCAGATATCCCTGCTGCCCAACCAACATGTTTTCCAAGTCGTCAAGGAGAGCAGCATTGATCAAACAAACATAGATGTTAAGACAGCTGAACAATCTAACAGTGAAAAAGGTAAAATAGATCTACTGCTTTTTGCATTAGAGTGTGCACCATGCACTTTTTCATCCTTGTTTGTGGTGTAGCTACAGTGTGTTTTAAATGTCTGAATGACAGGTTTCCACAGACAATCCAATGCAAATAGCAGTATTATGAAGGCAAAAATCATCCTGGATCCACATATTATCTGTCTTATTTCCATAATATATCAAATGCATTTCTATACTTTTGCATACCTATAATACTTTGAGGGGGGGGGGGGGGCAAGAGGAGAAAAACTGCACATACCTCTTTTGATATTAAAATACAAAACTATATAAAATGGAAGAGGGAATAGCTGATTTAATAACTTTTAATTTTTTGTCAGCTTTTTGACCAGTTACCCCTTAAAGCCACTTTTTTTTGGAGTGGGTGTAGGGTGGGCTAGGGCACCATAAATTTTGTTCTCGTTCTTCAATATTATTTTATTTATCTTCTTTTTTCATCCCTAGAAGCGAATGGTAATGGTTTGATGCAGGATAAAGATGCAATAGAAAGCACTTCTTCCAAAGATGAAGAAGAAGAGAATGTAGAATCTGCTGAGATCCAGTCTGATCCAGTCTCTCAGGTAGTTGATTTAATAGATAAATAATTAGTAATAAATAGCTGTTACTTTTAAAGAGGTTAAAGATATTAACCACAAAGAGTTATCTAACATAAGGCCCTCTAATTCCGAGATAATTTGAAATGGTATTTAAATTTCTATGGAGGGAGGATCAAACTGGGAGACCTGGAGAAAAACCCTCGTAGCATAGGAGAGAACAACACRTCAAACAAACTCAACTCACATACCAACTATAGGTTCTGCACTCAAGGCTTGAACCCTGACCCCTTGCACCAAAGCCTTGATTTGGTGAGGGGACAAGGCCTTTGCAGCGTAGACCACCCTTGTTAAACCTCAGAACACCCATCCTCTGGARTAAGATATATCCTTTATTCAAAAAGAACAGTTCAAATCATTGTATTTTCGTAAAAATCAATTAATTAAACCTCCCCCCCCCCCCCTTTTTTTTTGAAAGGCGGGAATGGCACCAAAAACTGATGTAGAGATGTTACAAAAGAACCGTACACTTCCAGCGTGGATGGTTCCAAAAGAAGAAGAAAATAAAGCCACCGTCTCGACCCCTCCCAAACCTCGTGGCCGAGGACGACCAAGGAAGATAAAAGAGCCAGAGAATACTGAACCAAGTGAGCAACGAAATGGAAACGAGAGCCAGAGTGGAACGATAGATGAAGGAATCTTAAACCCTGGACAAAATGTTTTACCAGTAATGCGCCCTACAGTTGAGGACAGAACGATGGAAGACTTTGATTATGCAGATGATATTGATGATGACGATGAAGAGGATCGTGAAGATGATGACGAAGATGAGTGGAGCCCTGTGGCAAAAGTTAGCAGCAGGGGAAGAGGACGAGGCAGGGGGAGAGGCCGAGGGCGTGGCCGTGGTGGAGGAAGGGGGAGAGGTCGGGGTAGGGGTAGAGGAAGACCTCGTACTAAACGACGATCAAAACAGTATAGTGATGACGACAGTGAAGATGAATTGAGTGAAGACGATTATGACGTGTTACCAAAGCCACCCAAGTTACGGAAGAAATCACGTGATATCAGCGACAGCGAGGAAGATGATCCAGTGAAGGTGAAAAACAAATGTTTGTCTTGTGTTCCTATATATCTTGTCATTCATGGTCGCGTATTACGGCTGTCCGCGGTTTTTTAAAAAAAGCTCGTCGGACTCAAACGAAATAGTTTTTAGGCAGAGTCTCCCTCGTTGGCGATTCTTGACAGAGAAAATGGGAGACTGCTGGTCTAAGCCGTTTTCTTTGTTGCGCATGCGCTTCGGTAACCTAGCAACCATGTCATATGAACTCATGGTTCTGACATCTGAAGTCAATTCAACTTTTATAAGTATACGTCCGTAATATAAAGAAAAATTTTTGTCTTGGAATGACCTGTCGCCTGTTACTCCTCTYCTATGTCTCAAACAAACTATCTTCACTATACTGGTTTCAATCGTAACAACAGTTCTTGCATTTGTACCATATGTATAGCGTGACGTCTTTTATTTCGCCGTCTTTAACAGTACAGCGTACTGAATGATTTCAGGGAGAAGACGAAGATGACAAAGAAGCGAGTTCAAAAGTGACCAAGAAAGATCTGCCCGCATGTCCGTATGGCAAGCTGTGTTACAGGTAAGTGGCTCATAAGACATCAATAGACACCTTAAGCGTCAGGATTACTGCGGCTAACCGCTTACTGTTTGGGACCAGGCCCAGAAACAGAGCATTATAAATAGATATTAACAGTATTCTCGACTTTCACATCCCCATAATGCCTTGCGTTTTTGG